GGGAAAATAATTTAAAGTTTAGGTTTGGCTCTTATGTACACTCTCCCAAAAAAGTCAAACAAAAAGGCAGTCATTATACTATATGAGTGTGTATAGTATTGTGTATATATGTATAGTATAGGACAGCTATTTATTTGCACTATATAAAAGATTCACAAGCACACACAGACCTAAAAAAAACAAACTTAAACATAAAATAGTGGCTTGTAACTACTAGTATACACTCCTGGGAGACTGAGCCTAAGATATACATATAAATATATAAATATATAGATATAGATATAGATATAGATATAGATAGATAGATAGATAGATAGATAGATAGATAGACAGACAGATAGATAGATAGATAGATGCAAATCATTTTGTAGGAATACTGAATTGGTATTTCACCATTACTTTGAATCTGTAGTATCCAAACAATTTCCTCTTAATCTATCTTTTTTTTTTCTTTTTCTTTCCCCTTACCACCACAAGCTATCTCAGGGTTGCTTTGATCTTCTTGAGTCTTGTTCAATAAGCACTGTAGAAGGTGTTTGGGAATCTTCCCAAAGCGAAGCCAGCAGTAGCAGATGACAGACATCTAGAGGGTGGGAACATTCTTTTAAGATCCTTGAGAAGTGACGCACCTGCTAACCCAGTGGCCAATCCCTTTGATCCAGACACCTCTTGCTATGATCACCAGATCTAGGGTCCAATAAGATGATTGTTTCCTGATCTCACAGGGACACAGTCCTTCATCAGTGAGCCCACAAACATGGCTACTGGAAGCAGCCAAAGCAGCTCAATGAATGCTCAATGGGATAATGTCCAATTAACTACTGAAATAGTGAACTCTGAACTCATGGTTCATACTGTCATTTGTTCCTTTAAGTGCTTCTCTGAGTTAAAGTTGGAGCAGGAGAGACAGAGTCTTTCAGCTTTGCTCTCAGACAAGAGATATGCTGGTTGTAGGCACCTACAGCCACTCCAACCTCAAAGACATCACAGCACAGGTCAAAGGGTAGGTGTGATTCTTACCCAAACAACTGAAGGTCATTTCTTCTTTAGGCAAACTCTGTGCTATTCCTTACCCAGGATACCCCATCTCCCAACTCTTTGACTTTGTGTTGGGATTCCCTCAAGTCTGGAACATAGTGCCTCCCCATGCCTCCATCTTCTAGATTCTGTAGATGCTGCTCAAATCCAATTTTTAGTAAGAAGTCTTTTCTGCTCCTATCTCAACTTCCTTACCCAAGTGCCTTTCCTCTGAGATTACCTTCCATCTACTCTCCATATATGTTGTATGTACAGTCATTGAAATATTGTCTCCTCCACTAAAATGTCTTTTAGGACAAGGAAAATGTTTTTGTCCTCCTTTGTAACCCAGCCTTCAGACTAGTGTCTGACATACTAAGCATTTAATAAATGCTAGTTGACTAATTGAATTCCTAATATGTTTATAAAGTAGTACATTGCATAACATATAAGTCTAAATGTAGGTACACATATGTATACATACATACATATATCTACATATACATACATATATATGTATACATGAAGAGAGAAAGAGAGCATACTCAGTTTTTTAACTGATGGAGGTGGAGGATCAAATAATTTTGGAGGCCACTATTCTTAGACAATGTAGGAAGGAACAATGAGAAGTCACCCGACTCCATCACCTGACTCACTGCTCTATACCAAGCATGTGTCTGATGCTATTGCTACTTCTTCCATTCCCTGTGGGTACTGGCCCCACAGCTGCCTACTTTATGTCTTTTTCCAAATTTGATTACAATAGAGATTCATTAGTGGTTTTGGAACTTACATTTCCCAAGAGTCCCTTTGTTTGTGAACTCAGTCAGTCCCCATGCACCAGTAGTGTATTGGACAGATGAAACAAGTATCCTCTGCTGTTAGTGTACAGTTTGTATGGAAACCTGCCTGGACTGGTCAGATCAGGGGATCCAAAGAAAGGCAGGACCTCAGAAGTCATTCTCCTTCCAATGGTTCTGTCTTTCAGCAAGATACAGCACAACAAAATATTTCCTGCATTTAAAGCGGGACAGGATCTCTGATGCAGGATCATTTTAAAGCTGGTAAAGAGAGAGAGAAGATTGGTGTATTCTAGAAGACGGGAACCTAGGAGAACTCAATCCTGCCTGATAAGTTGAGGTCATGGATTTGTGAGATAACGTGGCCAGCAATAGATGTATGCTTTTCTATTAATTTGTTGGTGCTCAGTTTGAGGCATTCCAGGGATTTTTGGGCAAAAACTGCTTACTGAGACCTGCAGTACGGGCAGGAAAGGAAGTAAAATAATGGCTTGTCATATCAATACTTTTTTTTTTAGCTGTGGGGATATATGTGACTGATTCCATATACAGGAACACAGAAAGCAGACCTGTCAAAAGAAAGAAAGAAAGCTTAACAATTACAATATATGTTTCAGACATAAAATGAGTACTCATTTCTGAGATGCTATTTTTATTCTATATCACATGACCTTTGCTATATACTCTTTGGTGAGAGTACTTTCATAGGGCCAGCTTCATACCTGCATGGATTACATACTGGTCTTTGTAATCTGAGGGGTACATGACAGCCTCCCACCAAAAGCTACCTCCCCACTCTCATGCTGCACACTTCCTAAAATTTCACAGCTGGAGATGTTTCCTTTGCATGAACAAGCATCCTCACTGAATAAATAAGCATCCCTTAAAGGATTAAAATACAAAGTAATTGGTTAGTAGCACAAAAGAATTAATTACCTAAAAGATCATTTCTAGCCAATATCTAACTTGAAACAGAGCTCAAAGAGAAAGAGGTAAGGGAGGGAGGAGGGTAAAGTAACTTTGAAAATGGGGCATTTACTACCCAGGGAGGGGGGAAATGGGATAGAGTCCACAGTCAGCAGTGTGAGGTCACTAGGCTCCTGGAGATGGGGCTTACAGAAAGAACAGGTAGACAGGTCCAGAGATAAGCCTCTTAGAGGCCATGGTTTTCACAACAGTGGTCTCTATGTGATCTTCCTTTGAAGCACTAGTGATGGGGGATATTTCATCTTTCATCTAATCATGGCTCTAGTTAACCTAGGTCAGAGCACCTTGCTTGTGAGGGTGTCTTTAACATTGGATCCTGCATGATGTGATGTGGGCATTTAGCCCAAGGTGACCCAAAAAATCTTAGCTGCCAGAGTGATTCTCCATTTCAATATATTGGATAATATATTACAACACCCAAGAAATCCTCTCCAATAACTAATTGGGGTGTCCAGAGCAAGCCTCTGCTCCACCATCACTCTTTCCAAAGAGAAAGTTGAACCAGACATCATAATGGTTCTGCTTCCCATTACAGACCTAGAGGATTGATTTCCTCTGAGTGTGCTTGTTAGTCTGGGACTGCAAGGCAGTTTCTCGGTGAAGTAATTTTTGAGAGAACATGTGGTCAGAAAGAGTAGAATGGAACTAGAAGATTGGTGCTTCTAAGTATTAGATATGGCAGCAATGAGCATGGATTCAGGATAGTGCATGGTAGGCACAATCAGGAGGGGGTGGCTTGACGAAGAGATTCCTAAAGGACTACAGCTCCCTAAAGAATATTGGGATACAGAGAGAATGGTTGCTGGGACTGGAGGGCACTGATTCTTTCCACTAAAATTTCAAACTCAACATTTATTGCTGCTCTAAATCCCAACCCTGATTTCTCCTAACATCACCTCCTCTTCCCCACAACAACTTCAGCACTGCCTTGTTTATAAAAGATAAACCCTGGACAAATTAGATGTCTGTGATGCTCTGTTCTGAGCTGTGTCTCCTTAAGAGAAGATAAAACATGCTCAAGTAAAAGCCACAAGGAACTAGAGCAATGTAATGGGGTGTGTGGTTGGTTCCATAGCAGTCTGGCTCCATGATAGAGAGAAAAGCCTACAGATAGTGTGGAACTGAAGAAAATAAATTGGGTGTTTAGAGGAGGTGCATGAATGCACAGAATTTCCCATGGAACCAGTTAGTTAAGTTCAAAGAGTATACACTGTGCAAATATATAACATTAAGAATCATTTCCCCTGTTTAATCACAGTTCACAAGATACGAATTGAAAATTTGCAATTACCATAAAAATGCTATAAAACATTAAATAAAAGAAATTCAAATCAAAACAATTCATTAAACTCTAAAGTTTTACCTCACATTTCTCATATTTAGCAAAGGTCAAAAATAGATGAAACTGCAGAATTTGGAAGGGATCTGGAAAAACAAGTACACCAATGTATGATAGCTAGAAGGAAATATTGGTCAAAAGGATCCACAAAACAATTTGAAATTTTCTGACAAAAGTGATAAAACTATTCATAGTTGTTGAGAGAGTAATCACACCATCGAGCATAAGTCCAAAGTAGATCAAAGACAGAAAGAGGCTCCACATGTATTTCAAAAACATTTTGGTACTTTCTTTAGTAACAACAAGGTGCATATGAAGTGAGGGTCTGACAGTTGGGAAATGGCTGAAAACTTTTTGGTGTGAACAGAAATGTATTTGTCATACATTATCATAGTTGATCACTGTGTTGGTCTTGCTTAACTTTTTTTTTTCTAGGTCACAAAGGGATTCAGTGAAGGAAGTGTATGTGGAAATAAGTATGGTGGGAAAACAAAAGGAATCAAAACATCCTTTTGTAGATAATACAAAGTAAAGTTAATTAGGAAGTAATAGGGTGGAGGCAAGGAACTGGGGAGGTCATCTGTCTCAGAGGACAAAAGTCTTTACAAAAATGCTATGCTCAGTAGCTGATACACAGCTCAAAGTCACTGAGGAAAACCCAATGATGTGGATATTACTGTTTTTTTTTTTTAGCCAGTGAAAGAAAAAGTGCCCAAGAGTGACTTCTGAGCATTTATATCTGAATTGCATTGCTGACATTTTATGGTGCCTCTTCTCAGCTGCAACCTCCCCCCTCTTCCCCCTCTCTCTCTATCTGTCTCCCTTCCTCTCGCTGTTTTACATACAGATCCATCAAAAAACAGCAGTCAGAAATGAGAAACCATACAGCGACATTATTCATTCTCCAGGGATTGACAGATGACCCACAACTGAAGGTTCTGTTTTTTATCTTTTTGTTTCTGACCTACATGTTGACTGTAACTGGGAACTTAACCATCATCACCCTCACTTGGGTAGATCCTCACCTTAAAACCCCCCATGTATGTTTTCCTTAGGAACTTTTGCTTCTTAGAATTGTCATTCACAACTGTCTGTATTCGCAGATTCCTGTACAACATGTTAACTGGAGACTATACTGTGACCTACAATGCATGTTTCACTCAATTATTTTTTGGTATCCTCTTTGGGGCCTCAGAATTTTTTCTCTTGGCTGCCATGTCTTATGACCACTATGTGGCTTTCTGCAAACCCCTGCACTATGCAAAGATCATGAAAAACAGAGTGTGTAACCAGCTCCTCCTGGGTTGTTTGCTATCTGGGTTAATGATCATCATAACAATACTTGGTATGGGTCTTGAGCTGGAATTCTGTGACTCCAATATTATTGACCATTTTCTCTGTGAACCGTCACCAGTGCTGGAGATCGCATGCTCTGATACACAGGTACTAGAAAGAATAATTTCAGCCTCTATTGGGTTGACACTCATAATGACCTTAGTGTTAGTGGTTTTATCTTATGCTTATATTGTCAGGACTATTCTGAGATTCCCTTCTGCCCAGCAAAAGAAAAAAGCCTTTTCCACTTGTTCCTCCCATATGACTGTCATCTCCTTTAGCTATGACAGCTGCATTTTTATCTATGTCAAACCTTCTGCTAAAGAAGGAGTAGCTTTGAATAAGTCAGTGTCAGTACATGCAACCTCCATGGCACCAGTAATGAACCCCTTTATTTACACCCTGAGGAATAAACAAGTGTTACAAGCTTTTAGAGACATATTCAAAAGGGTTGTATTGATTTCAAAGCTATAAGTGGCAATTGGCACTCAGGTGCACAATTGATAAAAGAAAATGTGAACAGCTTCGAACTCTTTGTCCTGAGTCCTACGACTAAATTTTGTTCTTGTACTAATGCCCCCTTACACACAGACCCAAACCTGACAATTCCTTTTCTCTCTTATCCAGAAATCCTCACTAATTGGGGCTTTCTCCTCCCCACTCCATCCCTCTTTCAAAGATTTTCACTTTTTTTCAACCACCTAACTCACCATTTCATTTCTATAAAATCCAATGAACATGTTTTAAGAACCAACTATGTATAAGACATTATTAACAAAGAATTTCCCAGCCCCTGACTTAATAGTTAATATTCATTTATTAAGTGTTTATTACATTACCAAGTGCTGTGCTAAGCACGAAGACAATGAAATATAAAAAGACAATCTCTGCCTCACAAGAAGTTAAAATCGAATTAAGGAAGAGAACACTCACAAAAGAAAGCTGAAAAGTGAGAGGAAGAAGAAAGGTACCCTGCATGAGGGTATGGTGGAGAAGTCAGTCAGAAAAGTCCCAAAGTAATGCAGTCCGATGAGAAACGAGGGAATGTTTGAGCTCAGCTCTGTCCTTAACTGGAGGTTTGGAGTTCACGGCTCCACCATCCAATCAGAGCCAGAGTGCAGTGATGAGGTAGATTAGCAATGCTGATGTTCTCCCACAGGATGATGAAGTCTTCCCAATAATGAACCTACTGTGGCATGGTGGAGATATCAGTCAGAGAATACTCAAAGTAGTGTAGTCTAGTCAGAAGTCAATTTTACCTGATGATCCATGTTATAAAACACGAAAGCCCAAATACTGAGACTTCCTACCTGAACGCTGAAATTAGCTCTGTGCAAATTGTCATATGGGGCTTTTGCCTTAAAATCTTGGAAAATAAAAGCCAAAGCCTCAAAATAAAATATATTTTCAAGGATGGGATTCTGAAGGGTGCCCTACAATCAGAAATCATTAAGTTACCTTCCAGTTTTTACAAACATTTCTGGTTTTTACTCAGTGGCAACCTATGGATTTTTCTCCTTCCTTTAAAAATAACTCCTCCTTGCATTCCAGACTCACTCATTTCTAGTACCATATTTTGCAGACCTCTAAGAGAGAAATTACTGGTCATATGCCCCAAAAGTAAAGCTCAATATGGGCCACAGAACTTAGTGAGTAACTTTCCCTCAAGAAAAAGTTGTTTTTTTTTTAATCTGGCAGCATATAAAAGAGGTAAGAAAGCATTTGTCTGTTACAATTTATTATTTCCTTGAGTTCAATAATAAAAAGTATTATGAATGATATTTATTCACATGTATTGTTTCCTCTACTCAGACCTTTGGATATAGAAGTATTTGGATATATAAGTATATAAGTATTCTTTTTCCTTGCCTCAAAGACAATTACTTGAGGAGAAAGTTAACTAGATTCCTGGCATTACATACATGTAACTCTTGGAGGCATTACTACAGACTACAAAGTGGGGTGCCTGGACTAATTATCCTATTTAAAGGGGGAAAATATTTTATTTTCACTTTTATTTCTATTCTCTCTTATTAAATGCCTTTGTTTTCATTTGATTGTATCTTTTGCCTGACTAATAAAGGTAAACACATAGGTGGGGACACATAAGCTATTATGACCTATGCTTTTGAGTGAAGGTACACCCACTGTGTAGCACTTGGAAAGACCCCTCTAACTCACAGAATGGGTCCCAAGGCCACCCTACATGAGGTTTGAGGTACTTTCTAGGTTTGCATACACTAAAAACTGTGATTCCCTACCTTCCACCAATATATTCAATTTTATTATTCAAAGAGACAACACAATTAGTTCAAATAATAAATAGTGAATAAGATTGCACATTAATAAAAGTAGTAATAAAATATTTTTCACATATAAATGAGACAAAAATAGACACATTATCCATTGAAAGAGTTGATATGAATCTAAAGGAACATATAGGAAGAAAACATATATAGCCATTACATGTGCATGGAGGGATAGATGAACTCAGGACTCTAATGCTGCAGGAATACTATCCTTACTTAATGATACCATTACTTAATGATATTATTACTGCACTGTTCCCACTACATTTGCTCCCTGTTTGTCTCTGCTACATTTATAGTGCTGAAGAATTGACTTAGTACCCTGCATTTTTCTAGCTTATCTGAGACATTGCATTTTATAATTTACTATTTAAATGCGAGGGATATTCAAACACAGATACAAAGTCTTAGTGTCTTTCTGTTGTTTTTCTTCCAGGCTGAGCCATGGAGCAATTTTAATTACTCTGTCAAAACAAACATGAATATGAGTGGTTCTGAGTGAAACTGGGAGAGGTATAAAAGGAGGAAATTATTGAGTATATACAAAGCTGAGAGTTAGTCATACTCAGAAAATAAGTGGGACTTTTGGAATCATCTGAGGTTGATATAATGTTAACACAATTCATTATAGCAGATCAAATAGGTGCTTTTCTATTATTCTGCCCAAAGAAATAATATTTTCCATGGAAAAAAATTGTTTCCATTAATCATTGGCTTTAATTTGGAGGGATGGAGACATGTGGAACATGTCAAGCTCTCTAGAAATACAATAGTCAATCAGGGCTAGTATCCTGATTCCATAGTAAATTTCAAATAGCTTTTACCAGATATGTTGTCTCCATCATATGTATCTCCCCTGCTGAATGAATCCATTGTCTACACTGGTTGCACTGCTTCTGACAAACTCTGCTTTGTTAAATGCAAAAGCAATTCTGGATGATTCTCCAAGGAATTTGTGATCACTGCTGGGAAAAATTCCACTGTATATGTGGTTATAGGGCTCCTCTATGGTTCCAGCCTCCAGTTTCATCTAGACTCCTAAACTGTTGGGTTATTATCTTCTTTATGGGAAGGTTGAGCTTTGTCATGCCATTTTAGTCCACAGGATGGTTTGAACTCATTGTGTTCTCTGGTTTTCCCTATCTCTTTTATAATTTTTGTTGTTATTCAGTTGTTTCACTGGTATCTGACTCTTTGTGTGCTCATTTGGGGTTTTCTTAACAATGATACTAGAGTGGTTTGCCATTTCCTTCTCCAGCTCATTGGAAACTGAGACAAATAGGGTTAAGGATTACATAGCCAGCAAGTGTCTGAGACTGGTTTTGAACTCTGCAAGATGAATCTTCCTGACTCCAGGCCAGGGGCACTACCCACTGCATAGACTAGCTGCCCTCTTAAAACAACCTTAATTTTACTCCTCCAAAATTGTAGAAAATGCAAAAGGATCATTGGGAGGCCACAAAAAGATACTGAAAAACACAAATTGTCCACTAGCTCCTCTGAAAAGGGAACTGAACTTGATATTTTGGTGGACCCCTAGCCTTTCCAAAGAGGTCTCACACAAGCCCACACGAGCCCACACAAGCTCATCTTGTAATTCTGAGAAGACCTTTGTAAACTGATGCAGGATGAAGTGAGCAGATCTAGACCAATATATATGACAACAATACGATAGAGCAAATCAACTTTGAAAGACTTTCAAGCTCTTCCCAGTGCAATGACAAACCACAATTCCAGAGGACTTAATATGAAGCACTCTATCCCCCCTCATACCAGAGAGGTGATATGAACATATGCTTTTGAACATGGTCAATGTGGGAATTTACTTTACTTTACTCCACATATTTTTGTGAGGGTTTCTTTTTTTTTAATTGTTCAATGGTGAGGGAAGAAGGGAAGGAAAAATATAAATGATTATTGATTAGAAAAATAGATTTAAATTTTAAAAAATAAAAGCCAATTTTTTATTTTAGTTAAAAAAAAAACAGAACAGGGTCACTTTTAGTTAAATGGCTAATAATCTAACTTAATCTCTCTTTTAAACTTTAATTCGTGGAGGATTAGCGCTCTACTTCAGAGATCTCATTTTCATTCAAAGTAGGCATTCCTTATTTCTCCCTATTTGTCTCTAATAAGTACACAAAGGTGCAAGGTCCCCCAGTTTCTCAATTCCGACAACACTACTTCTCTTCCATGAAGATGAGTATATTTAGAAAAGAGGTAAGGTATAGGCAATTAAGATATAAGGTAACTAACTGGTGCAGTAGATAGAGCACCAGTTCTCGAGTCAGTAAGATCTGAGTTTAAATCTGACCTCAAATACTTACTAACTGTGTGATGCTGGGCAAGTTACTTAACCCCTATTTGCCTCAGTGCTTCATCTGTAAAATAGACACTGGAAAAGGAAATGGCAATAACTTTTCCAAGAAAACCCCATGCACTTGCCTATGGTGTCATTAGGGTCAGAAATGACAAAATGACTGAACACCAACAGTAGCAACAACAAAAAGTATAAATGATAGTGGACAAGAGGAAAGGCATAGAGACACCTTGCCACATCTTATCCCTGCTTTTACTAGGAATATTTGTCCAGAAAGGAATACAATCTTTTCAGGCTTTGAACTCCCTTACATCGATAAGTGTTGTGGTTGTGGTTGTTGTTCAGTTGTTTCAGGGTTGTTTCCATTTGGGATTTTCTTGGCAAAGATACTGGAGTGGTTTGCCATTTCCTTCTCCAACTCATTTTATAGATATGAGGCTGAGGAAAATAGAGTTAAGTGACATACTCAGGGTCACACAGTTATTAAGTTTCTGAGGACAGTCTAGAACTGGGGAAGATGAGTCTTTGGGAATTCAGGCCCAGGACTCTATCTATTGGACCACTTCACTGTCCCTACTTCTACATCAATAAGGGACAACTTCATTATTTGGAAGCCCAATGTTTGCTGTCCCTCGTGGAAAATCAAACAACAAAGCTTAAAAAGTAAAATTGGATATTTGCATCATCCTAACATTTTATAAATCAATTTCACTGTTGCCTATCATTATAGCTATATGAATACATATTGCTTTGCTTTTGTATTTTAAGTGAACAATGTAAAAACAAAAAAAAACCTAACTTTGGAATCTTTTCCTACCGCACTACCCCAAAGGAAAGAATTTATC